GTGAACCAGTTGATGTGGATCCAAATGATAAATGAATTATACCGGTTTTCGCTGCCTCTAAGATCACCTCACGGATAAGCGACCTAAGCAGGCAAACAAGATGGGTGGTGGTGGTGGTCAAGCCGCCTAAGTTGCTGTCACTGACACCTTTGAACCCTTAGACCAAACGCTCGAACATTGTCCTAGCCACCGGAATTGGATATTAGGTGGCTACACTGCCGTTTGATATAAATCCAAGCCTGTCGTATTGGATTCTGTGTGCTACACCAATGAGGTCAGAGAGCTGGTTATTGAAAGTGGGCCCTCAAGACTATATTGGTGATTTGCTAATTTTCATGAGTCAAGAGTGTGCAACAAAATCAATGAGTTTCTCGTTGGGATAGTTACAAAAAATGACGAGTTGCCATGCCAATCCGTGACTGCAGTGTACTGAAGAGATAGGCTTGGCTGGTGATGGAGTGTTTGCAAAAAATTCCCAAGCTTAGCGAACGAACGAAAATGAAAGCAACCGGTAGTCCTTCTCCAGTTAGGGGCCATATCTCTCGAACATAAGAAGGCACTGGACAAAATAATGCAGCCTGTGCTCGAACCTTCACAAACGGCCAGAAATTGCTGAAAACATCAGAGGTTTCATTTACGGAAGAGACATCACCGATCGAGCAACATAATTTCTATCCTTTCTGTATTTACTTCCCTGTTCCAGTGAAGGTATGAGTTGAATGAACCCCCATCCTCCAAAAGTATTTTATATTTAAAAGGTACAAACCGAAGGTAGAACACAGATACACTAACCTTGAAACCACCCATACAAGCTTGGAAATTAGCTGGATCTTCTCTTAGTAGTAAAATATCATCCGTGTACTCCGGATAAAACAACAAACTGCCCGGAAACACTACTACTATCCTTGCAGAAGAAAAGCTGATAGAAGCGCCCTACAAATGACTCAGTTTCAGCTTGAAAAACCATTAACCAGACACTTTTGTGAGACAATTTTGGTGGCTACCCATTTGAATGAAGGGATGAAAGGTAGAAAGGAGTGTTGAGAGCAGTGTCAAGGTGAAAGTAGAGAGTTTATGAGGACTAAGGTTGCAAGGACGTCGAGTAGATGCACCAGCGAGGCTGCTTATGACAGCTATATTACTAAGCGTATCTAACCATCGGCTACCTTGACCCGCAAGTAGTTAACAGAACGCATAACTAATAGGAGAATTAATCTACAAGGGCAAACGTCGGTCTGAAAAATATCGCTCGAACGCGGATGACCGCCCTTGATGGACAAAATCGTGCTGATTGTCAAATATACGACGTTTCACTCTTGGCTCCGAGGAGTAATACTTAGCAAATATTCAACAAACCCACCCGAAGTGAAATTCAATTTCTACCACATTGCAATAGGAGGCAAAACCAACCGGGTAAGAAATGGCCGGGACCGGTTTGGGAGGCCACTACTTATGAAGTCCTGTGCTGTGGATGAAGCGAATACTGTAATCCAAAAGCGTTTGTTATTGACGAAGATAAACGCTACCCTAGTTAATCTGTGACTGCTCCATCGAGAGAGGGCTTCCGTGCCCACCAATGAATATCAGGAAGAGCATCATAGTGAAGGTCGATAGTAGAAGAAATATTTAAAAAAAACTCAAAGCGAGCAAACGTTTAAAAAAAAATCTATGCTGGATCCTCGTGCTTTCTATATATCTAATCCGTATATAGGATTGGTCATTTTTCAGTGATTTGATCATGAAAACGACGGGACCAAGAAATGAATATATGAACAAAAGTCGAACAGGGGTGTGCCTTGCTTGATCCAAAATTTTCATTCGTATACTTAAAACGGTTTCAGTAGCCGATATTCAATTTCGAAATTTTTATCCGATATATAGAGAACTAACTGCGGGCGAAATTAGGGGAGAACAGCGCAACCGGTTTTTTCATGTCGCTATAAAGAAATTTATCCTTGGAACAGTGTGAGCTATTACCAACGTGATTATAAAACCAGAAACAACTAAGCCTATCTTAGAATACGACCAGATGGGAAGTTTTTTTGGATCGGCAAGGGCGCATACAAAAGTGAATCGTGAATATTCTACCGCTCATCGGGGCAGAAAACGAGAACAAACAAGGCAATTTAGCATATACGGACGTGATTCCCACGCAGTTCCTTCGTTTCGAAAATTTCTTTTGTGACAAGTTGATGAGAACTGTCACTGTCGAACACATCTTAAAGTTATTTGGGAATATTTTGTGATCCGTAGAAAAAACAACACTAACTATTGCAGTTCCTCATCATCTGAAAATTAGGTTATTGAGTCTGAAACTAAGACTCCATCACGACGAAACTGCACCTTGGCGCGATATGACGGCTTGTGCGCCTCAATGACCCTGCGAGCTACACAGTATGGACGTAGTAGCGGGGTACCTGGGGTTTCCTCTCCACGGTGGGAGAAGTCTTCGCACTTCATTGAACCGTTACCGCCCGCCCAAGCTGGGCAGCCTCCAGCCAATAAGATGCTGTCCCGTCCATGTTCCGCTTGTCTCATTGGGTGCATGAGGCTAAGGGCCGATCCCAAAAGTAGAATAACAATCAACGCACCAGCGAACAACAAACTTAACCGGAATTTAAAGGCATCACACGACAGNCTCACTGCCTTGTGGGTCAGACGTTTGAGACGAAGGCTCCGGTTAGGGTTCCCAAAGAAAATCTCCTTCATCGGTGTGGGCTACCGCGAAGTATGCCGTGCCCAAAAGTCTTAGTTACCTATTTGGAGAACCGCCTTTCTAAATTGCCTATTTCCTCTTCTCACTCCCAAACCTTGGGACATGCATCCGGTTTGCGCCACCCTTGAGATATCACTCAGCTTTCAACTAATGAGGTCAAATATTCAGAGGCTATCAGATTTTTGAAAACAAAATCTCCTTTCCACTTAGCCGCATTTAATGTCCGCATACTATCAGATTGGTCAACAAGCCGCCTCAG